CCTAAAAGTAACGCTGTGGATAAGAAAGATATACTGTACTTGCCTTTTATTAATGTTTTAACGGATTTTTACAGGTAGGGTGTTGATGACTTGTATGATCATTATTGCAACCCACCTCGTCCTCCGTAGCCCTGGTACTTTATTTTGCATCATCTCGTCCTATGACCCTATGTACGCACGGTGGAAACTGGCTCGCATTTTGGTGGTGGTCGTCAAATACCCAGTGGCCGGCAGTTTCGGATGAGAACGACGTCATCGGTCATGCCTACGGCAAATGTGGCCCACGTGATCACTATTGCTTTTGAAGGTTGCCATTGTGGGCCAAGGAAGATACGACTGAGCTTCTAGGAGTGGATTCCGTGGGAAATACGTACAAGTGGAAATTTGATTCAAAACATCCTACTGCACACGCGGTTTGGCAAGCCTTTCACGATCACATAACGACACCTGCTGGCAAGGTAGTGAACAACAAGCCGTGGAACCCTGTTGTCCTGTCAGGAACAGCGCCCAAAGCAGCCCAGGATTCTTTCGTGTATCGTGAACAAAATGGAGTAAAGTCTATCTTGCTTAACGATGATAATTGTGATTGCTTGACAAGTTTGAATATTGGTCATGGGATGTGTAACGAAGCACATTCCACCGATCTTGGCCCGGCAAATCAATACGGCGTCGATACATTGTATGATGGTGATTGTCAAGTACCTCGACCAAATGTAGGCTTGACACTTTATTTCCGTACGAATAAACAAATATTTTTAATGCTTTTTAAAGATTTTACCCTGATCTTATATTAGGATGATTCTTCTGTAGTTGATACATTCGTCAAAAAGCCATTCGTGGTGAAAAAGTAGAATTACCAATTGATTTGGGTGGTCTTCTAAACACTTTTTTTCAGTCTTGTATCTAAGACAAATTAAATATTATATAATAACGTTAAGAGTTCAAGCAATTTCAATCCAAGCCATGCATGATCTATAAAAGGACAGACGCCCGGAATTACGTCACAGATAATTTCATACACGAATTTGATCAGTCATCTCATGTTTTATTTTGTCAGCTAATCACATTTTAGCACGTGTCTTAATTAATTTCTTCAATTCTATAGATCATGTACGCGTGATATGGGCAAAATATCCCAAGTTTTGGGGGAAGCCTGTTCAATTCCGATATTTTTTGGTGCCCGGCGGCTCGTGCTCATTTATTTTGTTCTTATTACAAATTACGTCATATCCCGTAGCTATATCTATAACTGAACAGACAACGGTTCAATGTTATATCTATTTGTTAAATACACCAGATGAAGAAATCTGGTTCAGTCGGTGTTCTTTGTCATTGATCACTGTTTTAGATGCTGTGTCTTTTACTGATGAGCCAAACGATTCAATAGCAGCAGTCGATAAAGAGGCACGGAATATTCCACGCAGGAAGAATATTGGGTGCGTGATCGCTCTCTTCATGATATTGTTGATTCCGGTAAACGTTTGATTCTTTGTTGATGTCACGTTATTTTACGATGTCGATTCCGGTTGAATTAAATTAACGTTTTTAGCCACACTAGTCATTAATGCAAATAACATGCTCTAAAGTGAAGTCAAAGGACTGAAACTACAGTTTATTTATTGCATGTCTTTTCAAAAGAAACAAGGACATTACAAGGCTGTGCCACTCCTTGTTATAAGCGGAAGTGCTTCAGTAACCTTTTCAGGCAGGAATCTTAGTTTTTTGTGTCAACATCGTAGGCGGAGTTGAATAATAATTTCAGAAACAATAACAATTTGACTCCCACGTACACGTTCTGTCGATTTTGACGATACCTTATTGTCAAACACCTTACCTAGATGTATAGCTACATTCATAATTTCGTCGACACTTCCAGGGAATTTATGAATTGTGATAAAGTGAAAAAGTTCTTGCATGAAGTATACAATTTTTGATGTTTGCCTATTGTAAATTGATATTTAATAATAATTATACCATGGTCCATGGGCTTGTGTCGTAAATAAGTATATTAGCTAATACTATATATAAATATTATCAGCCATCAAGGTATATATATATATATATATATATATATATATATATATATATATATATATATATATATATATATATATATATGTTAATATATATATATTATATATATATATATATATACATATATATATATATATATATATATATATATATATATATATATATATATATATATATATACATACGAGCGAATGGTTTCATATCATTTCTCCTCACAAATTCTCATTGTATATTACAGACTGTATTTAGAATTCACCGAAATAATATGAACCGAAATATGGTTAGGCATCGTTAAACAGCTTGTTTACGTTGAATAGCTTTATTGTATAATAATATTATAATATTCATATGGACATTGATAATCGACCAAAGCTTTCAAGTTGATTTTCGTACCAAATTTACCATATCCTGCCCGATATATCGTAGCGGCACGCGGCGTATAATTAACATTCGTTCGAATCGAAAGCGACTTAAGCTAGGCCCAAACAGACAGGACGTGAAGCATCATCCGGGCATATAAATTAAATTCTGCATGGGAGCAAAATTTGGAATCACAGCAGTGAAAATGTATTATCGTTAAGAAATCTACAAGAATATTAGGATGGATTAACATTTTATTATACACCGCGTTATCAAATTGCGTCCTGTCTGTGTGGGCCTTTTTAAGAGGGTTACTGCTGACACGCCCCCGTCCACGTACACACAAACACACGCACTCATGGAGTTCCGCGTGCCATGATCAATTTATATTGTTTGTAAAATAATTTTAATTTTAGAGGTGTGACCAGACCAGACTAGTTCTTGTATAATTATGCGAGTGAGCAATCATTGCACTATACTCTACATGCAGTGCAGGAGTACAATAATCTTTGATTCCCAGTAAATTTTTGTAATTTGGAACAGGTAGTGTCCTAAAGGTCGTGTTCTCGACGCTGTTACATTCACATGCATACAATCGTAACAACTATACCAAACCATCGTAATTATCGCTACTCTGATTTTAATAAATAAATAAATATTCTTTTGGCGAATAGCTTCCGTCATCCCTATTAAGGGCACAAAGACTCGCAATAATATGCCATGCAGGCTTCCAAACAACGCCTTTGTCCATAACGATTGGAAGCCTGGCATATTAATGCGAGTCTTTGTACCCTTAATAGGGAAGACGGAAGCTATTTGCCAAAAGTATATTTACATCTGATTTATAGATGACGTCATTTTGAGAGTATATAAGGAAACGAGTTTCAACATCAGATCACCCCTGATGAAGATACTAGACCGGAGTGTCGAAACGTTGGGTCGTGAAAGTTAATCTTTGTGTGGTGATTACTTTCATTTATTAAAACCGATAGAGTGATAATTACGATAGATTATATACCTGGTCGCTGTGAACTCATTAACTTCAATTCGTTAACTATACCGAAGTTCAGTATCTTGCGTTCAGGTTGAGACCGTTGGAGTAGACAGCACAGCGACATCAAAGAAGGATCACATGACAAGAAAAATGCGTTTCAGAATAATTCTTTCCATCATACTTTTTCTTTCTTCTCGATGGTGGATTTGCCGAGCCCAAGGTAAATATTAAGGTATTTTCTATGGTTGTATGTAACACAGTTGTATTTGAATTTTAAATATTTATGTCTGTACAAAATGTTGCTGCTCTAAAAGACGAAGGACTGCCCAATACCGCTGCATATTCGTAGTTAATAGCGAATAAAATTAATTAAAATATGTCTTCAAGCGAATTTATTTATCGTGACACTTTGAGTAGCGACAAATGAAATAGAAATTTGCTTGTACCAAGAAAATTAATGACGTTTATTAACCAAACAGCCTGACAATACTTTACACATCCATAGGTTGAGCATATATATATAGTTTAAATTATAACACCCTTAAATTATAACAATAGATTAATTTCTAAAGGTCCTCTTTTTGTATAAACCCTGTATACCATTCACAGGACGTTTTTCACGGGAATCTCCTCTGAAATGAATCTGGTCACAGATCAGGGTTGGTAGATAATATAATATAAGATATTACATGGTTGCGAGTATATTTTTTAAATTGTAGCCTAAACTTTAAAGTACAATATATTTTAATTATCTAAAGATTACTTTTCAGTCTTTTAATTTGTATTTCCAACGTTTATTTCGTTTTATATACAAACCAAACACCAATTGTATTTTCAAAACAAGAACAATGAAAATAGGAAAATTATCGAAATTTCTAAACGTGGCATACGGAAAATATCCGCACTGTACCCAGGATGCAGTGACGTATGAGTTCTAGGAGTGTTTTAGTTCTCCGTAAAATACTCTAATCAATTTAATAAAGCTGCATATTTGAGGCCAAGCAACATCACACTAGTTCTTTGTTTTCTTTGCGTTGGCCTTTGGTTTTCTTTGTTGTCTAGATAGCACTAATGCATGCCCATTCTCAAATATTTGCCCGGCTTTCAACTCTGTCACAGACGAGTAAGTTGGTCGGGAATCCCATCCGGACGAGAAGCTCGTCCTAAATTTGCCGAATAAATCAGATAAATCAGACGAATTTCTCAAATATCAACACAGTCATGGGCGGAACAGGGCTAAATATCAAATAAACAAAATGATAATCGTAATAACTTACTTATCAATTTTATCATCCCTGTTCATTTTAAGGCGGGGTTTTACTATAAACTTTCCCCTTTATAGTATAGTTATTCGGCAAATAAAGTCAAAAGGAACAATAAAGCCGACGACTATAGCTCGCTAAGTGAACTCTGCTTTAGGCCTGTTTCAGACGTCGAACTTTACCACGTCTGAAACGGGCCTTAGCTCATAAAAATGTGCTCTTATAGCATGCTTAGAGATTTCGGTGCAAAAATATTTCTTTCTTCACAGATTGTCGGCTAAACTGGAGCAGATTTAATTCTTTCTGTTACATCTTGATTGGTGATACGAAGAACTTCCAAAGTGCAAATAATGAATGTCGAGCGCGAGGGGGTCAAAACCAAGGCGGTCAGCTTGCCAGAATTACAGGATTTGAACTTAACAGGTTCCTCCAAAACAATTTTCCACATCCTCGAGAAAATCCATGGATTGGCTTCAGAAGATGTGATAACCAATGGTGTTATCCAGATAAGAAAACGGCTGTCTATACCAACTGGATACCTGGCCAACCCGATAATTACGAAGGAAATGAAAATTGTGCTGAGTTTTTTCCCAACGGACGATGGAATGACCGTCCATGCTATGATAGCAGACCTTTCTTCTGTGAAACAGGCAATTGGTTAACTTAATCCAGCCGCACCCGAGAGCTATCTGCTGAGCTAAAAGTTTCCCGAGAGCATTAGCGTAAGCAAGTTCCCCCAGTGTTCGACGACGTTTTGTCAGCTTTTGTTCACGCGTGCCATTTGCACCGAATATTCAACATCTGGAAAAATTTGGTGTACAAGAGCATAGTTGTACACGTGTGCGGGCGAACAGAGCAAATTTCTGCCATAACAAGCTAATATATATGGATGAATAAAGAATTTGGATATGTTTTACAGATTTGCGTATTTTTCATGCAGGAATTTTTCTTTATTCAAGAAGTATGCACTCGTGCACCGAATTATTCAACATGTTGAGTAAAATTATTCCGGGCAGATGGCACGCTGGTGAGCAAAAGTTCGCAAAACGTCGTCGCACACTGGAGGAACTTGCTTACGCTAATGTTCACGCGAGTGACTTTTAGCTCAGCAAATAGCTTTTTTGTGCAGCCGGCTTAAATAGATTTACAATACATAATTATTTTTTGGAAAGTCGTGTTTTCTCTGCCGCTTTGCATTTTCAATGCATGTGAGTAGGAGCAGCTCCATGATATTCTGCAAGCGTGTGTAGTTTATCAACTTGTATTGGGCAAAATTTTATAATAACTGTAGGACAACAAAAAGCCTGCTCTCGCGTGTGTATATCTCGTGTGTGTACCACTCTTGTCAATTGCAAAGCAAATCCTTAACATAATTCATAAATTATCTGAATTACATAGATTTCAACGAATGTGCGTCGGCAACTAAATGCCATTCTCAAGCAAAATGCATCAACAATGTTGGCTCATACTCATGTGTTTGTAATAATGGATTTACAGGGGATGGAATTACGAGATGCAACGGTAAGGTATTTTATTTTTTAACTCAAAGGGTAAACTTCATTTCATAACTTACATTGGCATTAAAAACTTCATGCATGGTTTTCACCACCAGTAGTTCACATGCAGAGATATAACTTTCTGTTTAACACGAAAATGTCAGATTTAGATGAATGTAAGTCCTCGGCTGCTCAACGGTGCCATTCTAAAGCAGAATGTAGGAACACTGTTGGCTCATACAACTGTGTTTGTAAAAAAGGATTTGAAGGGGACGGAATTAACACTTGCAAAGGTGAGATTACTTTCGCAACGTATATATTTTTTATAATGATAGCTTAGCCTACCTCAACTGAAGGTCAGATAATTGTATATAACTTTCCATAACGCCATAGTAAATTCATGTATATTTGTACCACTGTAATGCGATAATACATTTATGGCCTGAGGCTTGAGAGTTTTAGGAAGGGTACATTTTGGGGGATAGAGCGCTTTTAGGGAGTTTGGAAGCATCCTCCTAGAAAAAATTTGAAGTTTACAGTGCAGCAAATGCGATCTCATGCGTTTTGGGGTGAGATTTCTTAATATATATTGCATTACCTAATCTATAAAAAGAAGGAGGGCTATACACTTCTAATAAAAGTTGAATTTTTTTCTTGCAGCGTTTTAGGAGCCCTTGCAGCCCTGGAGCCCAGGGCCCGGGGCAAACTGACACCCCCCCCCCCTGGGCGATCCTGCTCAGAAGTATCGTCCTCGGATAACACTCTTGTACTTGCTTTGCATGCAATGACGGATATGTCTTTAATGGAAATATTTGCAGGCATGCCTCTAATTATCTTTTCGCTAATCTAAAACTTTCAAAATTAGACATGGATGAATGCAAATCCGGAAATCACAAATGCCATCCAAACGCAACATGCAAAAATACCGTTGGATCATACATATGTTCTTGTAATGAAGGTTTCATTGGGAATGGCACAGACTGTAAAGGTATACTTTTATTTACAAGCCCGACAGAAAAGTTTGAAAGAATTTTCAGTATCCCTCTTACTTTCGCGCTAACCAAAAAGAGATGATTTCAGGCATTGACAAGTGTATTAATCAAGAATGGACATGTGACTGTAACTTAAGTAGAGGTATGTTCAAAATATTGTTTTCTATGTAACATCTTAATGGGGGTCACTGCAAGACGTTAAAATGCACGGATTGCACAAAAGTGATATCATGTGATATTGTACATAAGAAATCTGGCGCGTATGGCCGACGCGTTTATATCACTTCACTTTGTAGCTCTTAAGGCACTGTAACACGGTGGAAATTTTCTTGCAACTTGCAAATGAATGCAATTCTAATTTTCAACGATGTGAATTTCACATCCACGAAACTTGTGTTTATTACTTGTGCTAATTTTCATCTCTTAAAAATTGAATTGCAAATTGCAAAAGTTATACGACTTTGATCATTCAGCAGAAACGAGTATTATAAAATTTCACTATTGGAAATCTATGTTTATTGATTTAGGCGAGAGGATTTTGCATGTATATATTTCTAGAAATATTGTGAATTTGGATTACAAACTTTAGCTTCTGATATCAACAAGGAGGAATTTCGTTTTAGACCAATCGCAATTTTCTGCTTTACATTTTCAGTCACCCACTCAGAATGCATGAATTTTGAATACTTCTGGAAAAAAGTGGCTACATTACTTAACATTTTAAATTCAGTACTAAACATTCAGGCACTCTGATTTGCTTTGCCTAAAAAATGTAAATAAATGTGCAGATTAGTTTAAAACGAAGTTCCACCTTGTTTCCCCAAAATAGTTTTTTACGGCTTCATACTTCGAAAGGGAAGACAGCGAAAGATTGTGGAATAATATTTTGCCAACTTTAAATCTGCTAATCTATTGATAGAATTCAATAATACAAGCAAGAAAGAAAGGCTGAGACAACTTCACGATGAGGCAAGTTAATCTTTCTATACCGTACAATTCCCTCGATGAAAGAGCTCACTCGCACTCGAACGCATTGTGTGTTCTCAATCACATCGAACTATTCTATGACCACAGTTCCACTCGAAAAAGAGCTTGATTTTAAGTGCTTGAACCTTAATTGATAACGGAATTTCTCCATCAGAAGATTATAAATTATGTGTGAATGAGCTTTTTAATAAAGATATCAAAATGGCATTGATTATATTTTTCCGTGTCTTGCATTGCCTTTTATTTTGCAAAACCATATTATGTGCCTAATGATTTAGACCAGCAACACGATGACATTGTTTAATATAGTCTGAAGCACTAATTCATTCGCAGGTTAAGAGGATAGACTCATAGACGCACGGTATGACCTTAAAGAAAATTTTAACGAATTCGATCAGTCACCGCTTGTTTAAATTTTGGCAGCCAATCATATTTTAGCACGTGTTTTAAGCTAGCTAATAGCAATTCGCCTATCATATAGATCATGTACCCGTAATATCTGCAAAATTTCTACTTTGACCATTTGTGCTGGGGAAACTGTTTGCCTGTTTTATTTCGGAGTTTTTTTTGGAATAACTATAGAATACCCCACCACATGTAAGTGTTGTTTTCCTGTGGCTACCTGGCAACATACATGCGAACATCTCTTCCTTATTCCTATACCAACACGACTACATGGCTACATGGCTACGTGACTACATGGCTACATGGCTACATGGCTACGTGACTACATGGCTACGTGACTACATGGCTACATGGCTACATGCGTGGCTACATGGCTACATGGCTACATAGCTACACAGCTACATCGCTACGTGACTACATGGCTACATGGCTACGTGACTACATGGCTACATGGCTACATGGCTACATGCGTGGCTACATGGCTACATGGCTACATAGCTACATCGCTACGTGGCTACGTGCCTACGTGGCTACGTGCCTACGTGCCTACGTGGCTACGTGCCTACGTGGCTACGTGGCTACGTGGCTACGTGCCTAATGGCTACTTGCCTACATGCATGGCTGTATGGCTACTTGGCTACATGGCTACTTGACCACTTGGATTCTAAATATCATTCCGCGATGGGGAGGATTAATTGTCCCACCCCCCTCCCACCTGCCGGCGCCATTGATGATATGTAGATTATAGAGCAGACTAAAATAGTATGATATTACCACAGGCAGCCCGGTCACTGCTGTTACGTCATGCTAATATATATGTATATAATTACAATAAGGCTGGCAACTCTCTTTCAAAAAATATAATACATACATTAATACCATCGCTTAAAACAAAAATACTACGCTAGTTTCTTAAAAAAAAAACAGATACAAAACACTTTGGATATATTGACTATATTTATTTGTCGTTTTTAGACTTGAAAAAAACTCTAAAATGCTCAAATTTAACGAATTGAAAGTGTATTTTCGTTGAAATTTTGCGAAACAGAGGCGGGATATAATTTACTCGACAAACGTCATCATCGGAGAATTCGTCGGCAAACTTCTGATTGGCTGTGGCATGTTCGGAAAATTACGAAGGTCAACTCAATCAAGAAAAAAAATCTTCGTAATTTTCTGAACATGCCACAGCCAATCAGAAGTTTGCCGACGAATTCTCCGATGATGACGTTTGTCGAGTAAATTATATCCCGCCTCTGTTTCGCAAAATTTCAACGAAAATACACTTTTAATTCGTTAAATTTGAGCATTTTAGAGTTTTTTCAAGTCTAAAAACGACAGATAAATATAGTCAATATATCCAAGGTGTTTTTTATCTGTTTTTTTTAAGAAACTAGCGTATAGTATTTTTGTTTTAAGCGATGGTATTAATGTATGTATTATGTTTTTGCGAGAGAGTTGCCAGCCTTATTGTAATTATATACATATATATTAGCATGACGTAACAGTAGTGACCGGGCTGCCTGTGATATTACCAATTGTTTCAAAACATGCTTACAGAATACAAAATTCAATAAATCCAACAAATTATCTCGGAAAAAAGGAATTGTTTTGATTATTGTAATAGTATGATCCATGAATCCCAGCAACGGAATATTTTATCTTAGAACGACTCAAAGAGTTGCGTATATTGGAAACCAGAATTACACGATAACTTGTGGAAATCGGATGGATGTAAAAGAGTTGATTCATTAGATAACGACTTGATATGCGAATGTGACCATCTCACGGCCTTCGCCACTATGGACACTTGGGAAAGAGTTTTGGTAACAACTTTAAGCGATAAATTTACTGCAATATTCAAAAACATTTTCTTTACCTTACGATTTCTGGTACATTTTTTCTTCCACAGTTAAGTAAAACTGAACAGAAAAGCTTGGAAATTATATCCACGATTGGTTGTTCCTTATCACTTGTTGGTGTAATTTTGACTATATTGGCACACGCAGTGCTGTGGAAGAGACTTCATAAAATAGCCGACAGCAAAGTTCCCTCTAAAGTGTTGATGAATCTATGTGCTGCTATTGGAATGACGGATATCTTTGCTGTTCTTGCCGGACCTGCACGCAAAAATGAGGTTTTGAATAAGCACTTTCCATCGCATTAAGGGAGCGATCATTAAGTATGTGTCATGGGGGGGCGGAGGCTATTCGGGAGGGGTATGAAACAAAATTTCTAATTTAGGAGGGGGCTCGAAACATTTTGTGGGAAAAAGGGAGGGGTACTAAACAAAAAATGTCACATTGGAGTTTCATTGTCTAAATAATTACTAACATATACTGTCTGCAAAAATTCCAATTAATTCAGTCACTTTCATCACTGTCTATATGCAGTTCTGTGTCAGAATCTAATTCTTCACTATGTGAAGTACTAGCTGTCACTTCTTCAGAGTTATTATAAATATTAACACAACATTGGAAAAGTGTTCTCTGTTTCTTCGATGAGGCAAATTTTTCTTTTCTCACAATATTGATCTCTCTAGATTTTTCAAGTTTTGATTCCATTTTTGTGGCCAAGCCAATGACAAAGTCTAAGGCATCTGTTGCAAAATAGTCTGCTTTAATCAGCTAAGACAATGCTTTATGGTGAAATCTGGCAAGCAAATGGCAGTTCTGATTGATATCTTCAAGACATATTGAAATTCCTTCTCTTTCTTTTACCATAACTTGAGTAAATTTGCCATCTGTTAGCAATTTTAACACTTCATCTACCTGGTTAATAAACCTTTTTTCCTTCTCTTTCGCCGATTTCCGTGCATTTGTTCTTGCAGATCTTTTCTTGCGTTTTGCTTCAGCAGTTTCCTCTGCAGAAGCATTGGCCCTTCTCTTTAAAAGATTGCTGTTGGTAATTATCATAGTATGTGTTTTTTGCAAAGAGTTGTTAAGTTCTTCCAGCAAAGTTTTCTTTGAATCATAAAACATCAGCTCATTTGCACGCCAAGGCTTTATGCTCATATCTTTGTTAAACAAATTAGAGCGTAGTTCTGTAATTTCTTGCTTTTTTTTCAAAACTTCGTCCAATAGGTTTTGAACATCTTTCTGTGAAGACTCTGCTTTGAAGAGGTCTCCAGGCTTTATTGTATTGACAGTGTCAGCTGAAAAACGGGCTATATTTTGAGCTTTGCCATTTCTACTTTCAGGATTTAGCTGATTCTCTATTTTTTTTTTGTAAATCAGTAACACTTTTTTCAATTTTCCATCGAGAGATACGTTGAGAGATAACATAGTCTTTAAATTGCAGTGGTGCCATAAGCTCAAAGCTCGAATTGTAAATTCCTTCCAGCACCATGTTGTGGAAAGCTAGTTGTGGTGTCAGAGGATTAGGAATCCACAGGTCCTTTGCAATAGAGGGCCCTATAAATGTAAAAGGAGTGATTTAATTCTATTTATTATATCAACACATTGCAAAACAAACACAAGCAATGTAAAGCAAAAGTTCATTCAGCATTTCAGTATTAACTTCTTTATAAGTCAAGATACAGTCTACTGAATATCAAAGATTAACGAATAAGAAAATGGAATTAAAGGTATGCATATAGTATTGTCAACGTCATAAGTAAATTTTTTTAACATTAAGTCTTTTCATACATCAAACTCTGCTGTAATATCATATTAATATTTAATTTCACTTCATTTCAGAACCATCCTCAGAGTTTAATATAAAAAATATTTTGTTGTAATTTAAGAAACTGTCTGTTCAGAGATTTACTTTCGGTTGATTACTTGGCCTTGGATTTTAATACTCACATTTGGTTATATCATTAGTACTTCCTCGATTACTTTCAGGCGTATTCACTCTGGTTTCTGGGCTTTTGCCTGGTTCCCCGTGCTTTGACATTAGGGGTACTTGTCAGAACGGATCAGCTATTTTGAGAGAGAATTCAATTCTTCACATGAAAACCGAGCCCACGTTGAAAATTTGAAAGGACTGAGAGCCGTGCTGCAGACCTTGATGGCAAATATTGAAATTGGGAACAAAACGGTGCGTCTTTCTTACATGAATTTCAACGAAGCCTTGGCTTTGTTCCTTTCATATCGTTCGAATGCACAAAAGTCAATGTTAACGGATCGGCACCAGAAGAAAAGGTTTATGGATTTGGTTTGCCATCCAAAAAATGGCCTTCCAGTTTATCTTGTACAGAACCAGTACGTTTTGTTGCGATCAGGAGATGTTGACCTTGATTTGTTTCTTGAAGAAGTCTCTCAGACAAAAGACGATGGAGAAAAGGAACATTTTTCAGCCACACAAGTAAACAGTATTTTGGATAGTCTAGACACAAGTTGGGACAGAAAGGTGTGTAAGGTTATCTTAGGGAAAGACCTTTCAAAGCAAAAACACAAGAAAGGTCTTGGCTCAAGAGTTTACAAATACAAATCTCAAGTAATGGAAGCCATTGAAACTAGGAAAGCCGTGAGAAATCAAGCAGAAACGGATGTCAAGAACAAACTATCAGAAAATATATCTAGGATTGATCACATGATTTTACACGAGGAGGAGAGTTTAGAGAAGAAATCAAACCTATTAAATGAACAACAGCGTGGTGAGTTGACTGAGAAAATAGAAGACCTAAAGGACAGAAAACTTAAATTTCAAGAGATTGTTGATGGAAAAAATTCAAAAGGATTACATCAGATGATAAACAGGAAATACAGGAAACTAGTTGTTGAAAAAAGAGTTGGAATGAGAAAAGCAAGCTCCGGGAGACCACAGCAAATTGATGAGGAAGATGAACAATTTATCCTGCAATGCATTGAGAAGAAAGCAACTGCCCATGGCAGAAGACACGATGCTGTATTATATACAGGTCATAGAGTAAAGAAAAAAGACTTCTTAAAACTTGCAAATTACAGCAGAATGTCCAGGGGACTTAAACCCATTAAGTCAGCAACAACAGTTTTCAACCGTGGAAGACCAAGAAACAAGAGAAGTATGCAGGCTAAGAAACATTTAGGTCTTGGTTTATTTTGTGGCAAAAAACCACCAAAGCTTAAAGACAATGACAATATATTGACCCATCACCAGCGAGCCTTCAAAAAGGGTATACTCCTCAAGCAACTACATGCATCCAAAGACGAAGAGGCTAATTTTAACTTGTTTATATCCAGGGATGATAAGGCGTACATATGTCCTGGCACAAGCACAGGTACTGTTTGTGTCACTACTTTTGTTACTATAGTACTCAATACATCATACAGTACATATTAAGCGTTTGTTATTTTTTATATTATATATATTAAAGCCACGGGTACACGAATTTACTGATGCAGGTCCTGGGGTGGGGGTCACAAATCACGATGTAAAATTTCGAATCGCTGAAATAACTATGTTAACCAATTTAGATTACTACATCCGCCACCACTTAGAAACAGATGACAGTAGTCATAATGAGGTAGAACGAATACAAAGCTATGTTGGAGATGCCATCTGTGATGGGGGTCCCATAGACTGGGAGTACCGACAACAATATGAAGGACTCTCTGAAGATCAGTTAAGCCAGATGTCAATTGAAGACCTTGAGAAGAGTGAGTTGGATAGAATGAAGTATAATGCTTACAAAGTGTGCGATGAACTGACTTTGCGTATTGACGGTGCTCCTGCTCCTGGTGGATACATGAAGGCATATTCATCTGAAAAGAGTGAGAACCTGTTTTTCAACAACCACGATTACCTTAAGGACTACATTTCTTCCTCTGAGAAGACCAAATTGTCATTACCTGGTACCAACTATTTCAAACTTGTTCAGACATTCATGGAGGAACACTTTGAAGTTGGGGAGAAGTATATGGAATATGTAAGGTACTCTTGCAATTCCTCATCCTGTGTACACTGTAATGAGTCTGGTTGGGTTGGGTCAGCTTGTCACAAGATACCAAAGCCAATGCCAGATTATGATGCTGATGGAATGCATTACATGAGTGTGCTCAATACTCCATCTGAGATTAATGGTGTATGTCGAAAAGTAGATGATTTTCAACCAAGGAAACAAGTGAAAGACCATCTACAAAAACTCTCTACAGATGAAGAGATTGATGCATTTAGTAAAAATACATTGTTGACAGAACATTGTTGACAAAGTATGTTGATCATTTGAAAGTGTTAGAAATCAATAAGAGTAAAAGAGCTGAAAAAAGGAAAATTGCAAAAGAGCAACAAAACAGCAAAACATTCAAAGATTATGACTGGCCTGTACTTTTGAAAGATGGTTTGATCAAGAAACTGAGAGTGACAGAACTAGATAAATATCTCAACCACTTTGGTCTTTGCCAATCACTTCATCTTAGTAAAACAGAGAAAGTCAAGTATATTTCTGCTCACATAGCCTCAACAATGCTAAATGAACCTGTGGTACCTGCCCAGGACAATCTTACTACTGATTCAGACACCTCTGATGAAGATCTGGAAAGTGAAAGCATGAGTGATAATGATCTGGTATTTGCAGACACAGCTGATATGGACCTGGAATCATCTGCTGATGACATGGAAAGTGATGAAAGTGACATGGAAAGGATCAGAGTGACAGTGATGGTCATGAAAATGTTGAAGAAATCTTTACCAAAACTAGGAGTGGCAGAGTTACTACAAACTGGAAAGCAAGCAAATTTGTGAGTATATAGTACATGGAAATTTTAAGCATAGGTTATTTTGAATTTCATTTGTGGGCATTCATGTTTATCAATATGTGTGTATATGTCTGTAGCATGGGCTATAACACATTTCTTTTTAAATGCAAAATGTTTTGTCTTATAGTAAGCACATTAGAAAATTGCCTAAATTAAGAAGTTTTGGTAACACATGGCTGCAGTATGCTAATCAGTTACTTTACTTAAGTAAATAATCGTATTCTAATCTTCGTCATTTAATTAATAAACAGGTTTAGAAGGAAAAGCAGAATATACAAGTAATGTCAAGTATAGTATGGTATATCAAGGAGGGGTATGAATTTTTTTTTTTTGATTATTTGGAGGGGCATCAAGCAATATCTTGAATCAGAGGAAGGGGTACAAAACTTTTCGAAAAATTTGGAAATTAGCCTCCGCCCCCCCATGACACATACTTAATGACCGCTCCCTAATTTCATCAAACCCATTATAATTTAACTCATTCTCA